TAGCAAATCCGGATATTTGGTTGATTCGCCGGAACAGGCCGGAAATCGCATCGCGCAACTACTCGCCAATTCCGAATTACGCGCTAAAATGGGTAAGGCGGCCAAAGAACGTATACGGGAAAAATTCCTGATGCCCCGTCTGTTGAGCGATTATTTTCAGGTCGCGCTTCAGGCTCGCAGCGGGTCCGGGTCTTGTTAGTTCAGCGGCCATTAACCGATGGACCCAACCGCGAACCATTAGGGGGAGCCGTTCTACGGAATTAACATGCCTCGCACCACCATCCTCGTAATGATTGACGGACTCGATCCGGAGTACCTGGCATCTTGCCCCGCTCCCAATCTACAGAGTTGGGGACAACTGGGATTCCAGGTGAGCGGCGGCGGCATGATGCCCAGCGTTACCAACGTCAACAACACGTCCATGGTAACCGGCCACTTCCCGGCCCAACACGGCATCGTCTCCAATTATTGGCTGGACCAACATTCGGGCGTTGAGCAATACGTTGAGTCGGGCGAGTTCATTTGCTCAGACACAATATTCTCCCAGTGCCGCCGCAATGGGGGACGTTCCCTGCTCGCAGCATCAAAAGATAAACTGCGCCGCCTGTTGGGCGACGACGCGCATCTCGCATTCTCTTCCGAACAGCCAACCGCAGAGTCCATCGTTGCTGCCGGCGACCCGCCGGACGTGTACTCCCTGGAGGTCAATGGATGGACCATCGACGCCGCACGTGACGCTCTGCGCCGGGAACACTTCGACCTTGCTTTTATCGCCACCACCGATTACGCCATGCACACCTACGGCCCGCACCATCCGGAGTCCGCGCGGCACATTGCCCTCCTGGATGAAGCGCTGGGTCGCCTGGTGAACGACGTTCCCGATGTTCAGATTCTGATTACCGCCGACCACGGCATGTCGGACAAACGTCGCATGCTGCACCTCCCGGCAATCCTGGACGCCCACGGAATCTCGGCCCAGGCAATTCCCGTGATCAAAGATTTGTACGTAGTGCATCATTCCAATTTGGGGGGCAGTATTTACGTACACCTGGCAGACCCTGCCGCCCTCGAGGACGCGCTGGCCGTGCTCCGCCAAACCGATGGAATTGAACTGGCCTTTGCCTCGAGACGCCGCGGCTGAGCAATTTTCACTCATGGGTAACCGCATCGGGGACATTTTCGTAACCGGCGGCGTCGATATCGTGTTCGGCAATCCCGAGGAAGTTGCCTTACCACCCGGCCTGCGTTCCCACGGGTCCATCCACGAAACGGCGGTGCCCATCATCGGATATGGCGGCGACTTCGGCGGTTTCGAATTTCGGGAAAACCGTGATTTGGGTCGCTACGTCAGCCAGCACGTTCTCGCCTGACCATCCAGTGGGGCCGTGAATACCAACGTGTCAACGATTGAAGTTCGATCACCCGCTACGACCGCCAACATGGGCCCCGGTTTCGACTGCCTCGGCATGGCGCTCGATTTATGGAACCGCTTGACCGTTACCGCGCTGGCCGATGGCGCCGTACCAAGGGTTGAAGTAGCGGGCGAAGGCGAAGGCGAGCTGGCAACTGATACTGACAACCTCGTATACCAGGCGATGGCCTTCCTTTATGAAGAAGCGCGGGAGCCCATGACCCCGATGGACATCCACTGCCAAAATGCGATTCCTTTGAGTCGGGGACTGGGAAGTAGCGCAGCGGCGATATCTGGCGGTTTGGTTGCGGCGAACGCCATGTTGGGCAACCCTTACGGCGCCGATGAGTTGCTGGAAATGGCCGCAACCATCGAGGGCCACCCTGACAACGTGGCGGCTGCAGTTTACGGAGGCATGCGCCTGGTTGTAACGGACGAAGACCGGATCTATACCGCCGCCATCTCGATCCCGCCTCAGCTCCAGGCCGTTCTTTTCGTCCCGGAGCGGCGGATTGCCACCGTTGATGCGCGCCGTGTGTTGCCAGCCGAGGTCACCGTCGCCGATGCGGTTTTCAATATGAGCCGTGCCGCGCTTCTGGTTGCCGGGATGCAGGGTAACCATCCGGAGTACCTCCGAATCGCCACGCAAGACCGGTTGCACCAACCCTATCGGCAATCGATCTTCCCGCCGATGAAAGTGATCTTCACCGCCGCGATGGCCGCGGGAGCCCTGGGAGTGTTCCTTTCGGGCAGCGGAAGTACCATCATGGCGTTGGCGGAAGACCGCGCGATGACCGTAGCCTATGAGATGTTCGACGCCGCCAGGCTGGCCGGCGTGGAAGGCCGCGTTGAAATCACACAGCCAACCGAACTCGGCGCCCACGTGATCTCCGGAGATTCGGACGATTGATCCCCAGCCGGAACAACTAGACCGATGGCTTTGTATGTTCACAAATACGGAGGCAGCTCGGTTGCCGACGCTGAAAAGATCGTCAACGTGGCGCGCAGAATCGCCGGTGTGCACCACGCCGGTCACCAGGTGGTAACTGTAGTCTCCGCGATGGGAGAGACCACCGACGCGCTGATCGACCTGGCGCACACGGTGGCCACGGAACCCGATCCCCGCGAGTTGGACTTCCTTCTATCCACGGGCGAGCTGGTATCCATCACCTTGCTGTCGATGGCGCTGAGAAACCTTGGTTACGACGCCATCAGCCTCAGCGGCGCCCAGGCAGGCATCCGCACCGACAGCACTTACGGTAAGGCTCGCATCAGCGACGTGGATCCCGACCGCATCCAACGGGAACTTGCTTCGGGCCGTCTGGTTATCGTCGCCGGTTTTCAGGGATTGACGCCTGATGAAGACATTACGACCCTGGGTCGCGGCGGTTCGGACACTACTGCCGTCGCTTTGGCCGCTGCCCTCCATGCCGATCGATGCGACATATACACCGACGTCGAGGGCATCTATACTGCCGATCCCCGGGCAGTCCCCGCAGCTCGCAAGTTGGCTGAAGTTGGTTACCAGGAGATGTTGGAATTAGCAGCAGCCGGAGCCAAGATGCACCCTCGGTCCATCGAACTGGGAGCAGTCTATAATGTCCCCATCTACGTTGCATCCAGCTTCTCCGATGCTCCAGGCACATTGATTCACCAGGGACCGGACAACAGGAACATGGAAGACCGCATCAAAGTCACCGGAATCGCTTATCAATACAATATCGCCAAGGTAACCGTTCGCGGTGTCGCCGACCAACCCGGTGTGGCCGCTGCACTTTTCGAACCGCTGGCTGAAGCGGGTATCAGCGTAGATACCATCGTCCAGAATACCAGCGTCGATCGCACCACAACCGACATCAGTTTCACGGTAACTACCCCCGATTTGCCCCGCGCGCTCCGCGAAATGGCGGCCCTTGAGCCGATGTTGGGCACTTCGTCCATCATGAGCGACGACACGCTGGCATCGGTCAGCGTCGTGGGTTCCGGGATGCAGAATGCCCCTGGTTACGCCTCCCGCATGTTCAGGATTCTGGCCGACGGCGGCATTAACATCGACATGATAACCACATCGGAGATACGCATTTCCTGCATCATAGGCCAGGACCACGCTCGCGAAGCGGTAAGGCTGCTCCACGAAGGCTTCCAGTTAGACGAAGCCGGTTAGTCATTCACTCGGTAAATCGGCAATGCCAGGCTGTTATCTGTCCGTAGTCATTCCGGCTTACAACGAAGCAGCGCGATTGCCCGGTACTCTGGAAACCGTCGCCGCTTATCTTGAGCGACAACCCTTCGATTGGGAAATCATCGTCGCTGACGACGGGAGCGCCGACGCCACCGGAACAATTGTTCAGGAAGCGGCGAACTCGGCCGCCAACGTGCGTTCGTTGACCCTTCCGCATCTGGGAAAAGGTTCTGCCGTCAAAAACGGCATGCTGGCTGCCACCGGCCAATATCGCTTTATGTGTGATGCCGACCTGTCCATGCCCATCGAATGCGTGGAGCTGTTGCTGCCTCCTTTGGCGCCCCAATCCAACATCATCATCGGTTCGCGTGAGGCTGCCGGCGCCAATCGCATCGGAGAACCGCGCCGTCGATGGTTGATGGGTCGCGTGTTCAACCGACTGACGCGAATCCTGGCCACCCCCGGGCTCTCGGATACCCAGTGCGGATTCAAGGTATTTCATGCCACCGCTGCCGAAGCGCTGTTTCCGTTGCAGACGCTTAACGGGTTTGCTTTCGATGCCGAAATATTGTTCCTGGCCCGCAAAATGGGATTCACGATGAGCGAAGTCGGTATCGAGTGGCATTACCGGGCAGAGAGCAAGGTCCGACCATTCCGGGACAGTTGGCTCACTCTCCGCGACCTGCTCATGGTTCGCTGGCGGTGGATAACAGGTCACTACCAAACATAATCACTCCGCCGATCGCGCCTGATGGTTGATCGGCGGGCGCCAGTCGCGTCCATATATCTTTCAGACGGCTTGGGCCTTCGTCATCCCCACGACATCCGGTGGCCTGTTTCGGATCCTATATGTTGCTCGATATCGATCTACATCAAAATAAATCGTCCGAATCTGTTGCGTTTCACCATTGACCTGTGATTCCGCTTAGGTGTAATTCAAAAAATAAACTTGGGTTCTCGGTTGATGTCACGCGGCAAGCATGGTGAGGGGATCACGACGATGTTGAAAAACATGCCGATCCAACGGGGTAGGCCAACCAAAAACGCCGTTTCCGACCAGTTGTTGCGGGTTAACTTGGGCCAGGAAGCCGTGAAAATGGCGTTGTGCGCGGACTGGGAACGCGCGGTCGAGTTGAACCGGGCGATCCTCGAGTTGTGCCCGGGCAATTGCGAAGCGGCGAATAGACTGGCGAAAGCGCTGATGGAACTGGCCCGATACCAGGAAGCCCGTGAAGTACTGGAAGATTTGTGCCGCCGGTCCCCCGCCAACGCTATTGCCCGCAAAAACCTGGAGCGGGTAAACAACCTGGAAACCAATTCGCCGCAACACCACGTCCGGCGGCAAAATCATCTCATACTACCGGCACGTTCATCGAGCAAAGCGGAAAGTCCTGCATTGCGGTCTTGCGCCGAACTACCGAACTCGGACCCGTCTGCACGGCGGGACCTGGCGATGAGGCGACGCTAACCATCAAAAAGGACAACATCGTCGTATCTACGTCAGACGGCACACCTCTGGGTACACTTCAACCCAGACTGGCCGGCCGGCTCCGGCGGTTGATCGCCGCGGGCAATAGTTATTCCGCTGCCATCATCAACATCGGAAACCAGGGAACCTCGGTCATTATTCACGAATCCAGCCAACATCCCAATTTGCGCGACGTGATATCGTTTCCAGTCCACTTTCGCGTATTTACCGACCTTGATCAGACGGCGATGCAACGGGATGTCGCCACCGATACAGACGTGCTCGATCCCGACAGTATCGCAATTGACGGCAGCGAACAGACCTTCGACCCCGAGCCGACAGAAGCCGTGGTTGCCATGACGCCGGAAGAATTTGATGACGACACTACCGTTGACCCCGATGACCCGATCCCGGTGCTCGATGTTGACGCGGATGCCGCTCCCATACCCGTCATGTTGCCCGTGCACAACCCCGATTGGGAATAGCCACCCCTTCCTGCCCTCAACGTGGAGAGCTCCGCGTTTTCAGCAAGCGTAGATCGCCCGTTTGTGGTTAAGAATCCTGGCCGGCTCCTCGCGCCCGTGCGTCCAGCCCAACGGCAACCCTGGAACGGAAAGGTCGCACCCGATTCGTAGCGTGCGGCCCTCCCATCGGCACCACGAACACACATTCCTGACCGGCGGCGTGCGGCGAGAAAAATTCGATCACGCTGTCGTCATAGAACGTAAGTCCGGTGGCGCCCAGTCCAACTGAATGCATCCCCAGATAAAGGCGCCCCCCAATGATGCCGGCAAGGGTTTGAACCAGCCGATAGCCACGAGCGCCGAAAGCGGCATCCACCGCCTTCAAATCGGCCGTAATGAATCCCACGGCGGCCGCGTCTGCCGGCAGTGCTTGCTCAAATCCCAAATGTCCGGCCATTTCGCGGAAATCACCGGCCTTCAACAATCGCAGACCCTTGTAAAACGGGTTGTAATGGTAGGCGCCCGACGCCAGCCCCTCGACGGCGTTGACGATGAAATACAGGTTGATATACGGCGCCAACCCTTCCTGGAAATTGGGCGTATTGATGCCAGTAGTAGCAGCGCCTATCACCGCACGAAACGCCTCCCAGCTGGTGGGTTCCAGTGAAAACCGCCGCGTGGAACCTCGCGACCGTATGCATTCGCCCAGCGGTGCAGACTCGAAGAGAGTTAAATCTATATCTCCCTGGAAACTTCCATCTGTTCCGGAGCGCAACGGCCTGAATCCTTCTCCGGTGCCTTCCAGTTCATCGCGGTCAGACCTGGCGTTGGCTCCCGCTTCGCGGTTCCACTCTGCCACTTCGGGGCGAGTCTGAAGCCAGGATGCGGCGTGGAGTCGACGACTCACCGGGTAAGGTTCGGCGCCAGACACCAGGTCGTTGCTCTCTTGCGTTATCAGACCCGGGACGTCCCCAGACCCAGCCGCCAGTTCGCCAGCTGGCGAACCTACCGAAGCCAGCATCGCCGGCGCTTCGTCAATTCCATTCAATCCCAGATATCCGCACAGCGACCGGTCCACGAAACCGAATCGCAACCCAACCGGCACTCGTTCGGCTGCGCCCGCCGCGAGCAGATTTGCCGAGATCGTGCCCAGGTCCCAATAACAATACCTGTAACCCCGTTCACGGTACTTCCATGCGCTGCTGCGCAAGCAGCAGAACGTGGTGAACACCAGGGTGCGCGTGTAGCGCGATGGTCACTCGCTGCGCTAAACACCGCCTCAGGTCGCCGTTGCGCAACCGGACCAATGCGAACTCCCTGGCGTTGAAATGGTAGACACCCGCTCGCAATCCATCCAGATCGCCGCACACCACGTAGATCTCTGTCGGATACAGCGCGCCGGCCGACGCAGCGGCTCGGTAGTGCACTTCCCCACTGCGTAGCTGCGAACGTCGGATAACCGCTGCGGAGTGATACAACAGCGAGGCCAACCCTTCCAGGGTAAGCGCTCCGTCACCGGCAGAATCGACGTTGCCGCTGGCTCGGATGGCATCCAGGGTGGGCACATCCATTGCGGCGCGACCGGTAACGTCTGGCAGGAGAATATTTCGTAAATCCGGGTAGGATTTGTAAAGGGGCGGCTTGTTGCCCAGATTGATGTATTGAAGCTTGGTGGCGTCGTTATACTGCTCGGCGAAGCTGGCGTCGTTGTCGACCGAAGTAGCCATTATTTAAACTTCCCCCGTTGCCTGATTGGGTCTCAGGATGTCACGACCGTCGAGCCGAATTGGCGCCAGTCGTCGCGCGTACGATAAATATCCACTTCCGCCGCTTCCACAACCGACCCTCGGATCGGCGGGCGTGGTTTTTGTACTCTGACTCGAACCGCCTGAACCGCAGGATGTTGGTCGAATACTCCACGCGCGATGGCCGAAGCTGCGTTCTCCAGCAGGTTGCGCGGTTCTCCTTCCACCACCGTTTTCACGACACGATACAGATGGGTGTAACTCACCGTATCCTGCAACCGATCCGATTCCCCGGCAGTTGCCAGATCCAATTCAGCTTCCAGGTCAACAATGAAGGGTTGCCCCAGCCGACGCTCTTCCGGATTCACACCGTGAAACCCGTAAAACTGCATGCCGCGCAGAATTATGCGGTCAAGGCTCATCGTCGCACGGACGCGCCAAGGTATCGCCGGCGACGGTTGCCGGTATGCCTCCGCGACAGCGGTTCATGAGTGGAGATTCGATGGCCGCGGGTCCTGGTAACCGCATCACCGTCCGGCCTTCAGCCTCGATTTGGGGAATTACTGTCATGCCTGGACACTTTGGGCCGCTATGGCCTCCACCAGCGCCAGGAGGTTTTGCGCTCTCTTCACCACTGGCACGTCCAACATTCGCCATCGATGGACAGCGAGCCGCGGCCCGCGCTTTCGGCTTCCTCCCAGGCTGCAACCACGGTGCGGGCGTATTCCACATCGTCGGGATGGGGAGAGAACGTCTCGTTGATGATGTCGATCTGTGCCGGATGGATGGCAAACTTGCCAGTGAAGCCAATCTGCCGCGCCGTGCCGGCATCGGTGCGCAACCCGTCCGGGTCACGGAACCCTACGAATGGACCATCCAGAGCCGCCACACGCGCGGCGCGTGCGGCAACCGCCACCGCCGATCTCGCGTAATAACATCCTCGCCAAAATCGGTTCGGATCACCCCCATGTCGTTGGTGTAATCCTCGGCGCCGAATGCGACCCCGACAATGCGCTGAGATGCGCGGCGCCATCATCAAACGTGACGAGTCCATCGCCGGTTTCATCCAGGGCCACCACCTGATTGTCCCTCGCGGAATGCCAATCCTGGATTCCAAAGGTCCCAGCAGTCGGTCAACCTGCTGCAGGTCCCACGCTGAGTCGCCTTTGCCTACGCTTATCCCGGCCAGTTCCGGGCACACCACCATATCCAGTTCCTGGCTCGTGAGACCGGTATCCAGCGAATTGACCCGTACCATCACTCTGCGTCCGGCCGCCGCCAGTCGCGGCACCCACTCTGCAGCCATCTCACATGCCGTAGTCCTGTGTTCGCCGCGGCCTGGCAGACAGGTCCTTCCAGAGTACGATCCCATTACATGGACGTAAATCACGTCGCGCCGAATGCCCCAATGCTGCTTTATCCAGCATGTTTGCCCGATTCCCAGGGACGAAAACCAAACTGCGCAACAATTCCACTACAGATATTCCTCCTCAATCCGGATACTGGATAAAATCCCTCTGCCTGCAGCCTTTGCAGAAGTACTCCCACGAGTAACCTGATTTCACGTCAACTTTGAGCGTCACGTCCAGATCCAGGGCCGCGGGCATCTCATCCAGCACCATCACAATGAGCTCATCCATCTCGTCCTCCGGAACTTCGAACACCAGTTCATCATGCACCTGCAGGATCATCCTGGTGTTCCAATCTTCTTTTTTGAGGCGGGACTGCACGCTAATCATGGCTTTTTTCATGATGTCTGCGGCCGTGCCCTGAATCGGCATGTTGATGGCCATCCGCTCAGCAGCCGCCCGAACGTTGTGATTGGACGATTGATGTCCGGCAGATACCGGCGCCGTCCCAACAGGGTTTCAGCGTACATCGTGCGCCGCGTTGGTCTTTGATCGATTCCAGGTATCCGTTTATCCCTGGATAACGCGACAGATAGTTGTCGATGAATTGGCGGCCCTCTTCGCGACTGAATCCAGTTTGCTGAGATATGCCGTATGGGCCCAAACCGTATATGACGCCAAAGTTCAGAATTTTCGCAATCCGCCGCTGGTCCCCATCCACCTGGTTTATTGGAACATTGAACATCTGACTGGCGGTCGCGGCATGTATGTCTTCTCCACGGCGGAAAGCCTCCAACAGCGACTCATCCTGCGACAGGTGAGCCAGCACTCTGAGCTCAATTTGCGAATAATCGGCAGATAGCAGTTTACAATCCGAATCCGCTACGAATGCGCGACGGACCTGGCGACCAGCTTCCGTGCGCACTGGTATGTTCTGCAAGTTGGGGTCGCTGCTGCTTATTCGGCCAGTCGCCGATCCGGTCTGATGATATGAGGTTGTGAATCCGACCCGTCTGCGCGCGGGTTCACCATCTCCGGCAAGGCGTCGGCGTAGGTCGATTTCAGCTTGGAAACCTGTCGGTACTCCAGAATGCGGTCAACCACCGGGTGCATTCCTTTCAGGGACTCCAACGCGTTGGCATCCGTGGAATAACCCAATTTCGTTCGTCTGGTCTTGGGCAATCCCAACTCGGAAAACAGCAAATCGCTCAGTTGCTTTGGCGAGTTGATGTTTACGGCATGGCCGATGTCCTGGAACAAACTGGTCTGGAGCTGTTCCATCTGTTCGTTCAAATCGCGCGACATCTCGTGCAAAATACCGGCGTCGAGCTTCACCCCCGCCCGCTGCATGTCAACCAGGACCGGCACTATGGGCAGTTCCACTTCCGACATCAACCCCTGGATACCCAACGATTCCAGCGGCGGTTCCAGATGCTGCCTCAACCTGAGCGTGCAGTCCGCGTCAGCAGCGGCGTACGGAGCGCCAACCGTGATGTCAACTTCGTTAAAGGTTTTCTGGCGCGCGCCTTTCCCGATGATTTCCGTTATGTTGGTCATCTCCCGCCCAAGTATCTCCAGCGCCAGGGGTTTGAGTCCCAACCGGTTCTTGGCCAGCAAATGCGCCGCGATCATCGTGTCGTGATCCACCACGCCGTAGGGTTCGATACCGTAGTTGCTCAGCAGCGTAAGATCGTAATTGGCGTTGTGGGCACACCGTTGGAGTCCATCCTCAACGAACAGGGGACGTACGGCGACCAGTACTTCCTCCATCGGTAGTTGATCACCCGATGCGTGCCCGACTGGCACGTACCATGCCACCCCGCTGGGAACCGCGAAACTCAACCCGGCCAAGTCGGCGTTCATCGGATCAGTGCTGCTCGATTCAGTATCAAACGCGAAGGCGCCGGCGACGCGAATTTCGTCGATCAGAGCGTCCAGCTCGCTTCGGAGAGATACAATCCGATAATCTTGGTCTGCGTCGGCAACCGTCACCGCCGGACCCGTAAGCACCGCTACCACTATGGCCCTCGCGATGGTGCGGGCCGTCACACTGTCGCCGTCGCCCAGGGTGCGTCCGGCGATGGAATCCTCCCCAAAATGCTGTGAAATTCCAGGCCGGTCATGAATGCGACCACGTCTCCCCGCTGGTAATTGCCGAACCTGGATCCCTCCAGATCGAGCTCAACGGGGGCTGCCCGGTCGATAGTCGTCAGGAAACGGTATTCAAACGCGGCTTCCCGGTTTTCCGACAGATTGTTGTGAACCCGTTTTTGCGAAATGTCGTCGATATGCTCGTAAATGCCCTCAAGCCGGTCATAGTTGCTCAACAACGTTATCGCCGTTTTCTCACCTACTCCGGGCACTCCGGGTATGTTGTCCGATTTGTCGCCCACCAATGCCTTGGAATCAGGTTGCTGAGCCGCTGTCAGGCCACCGTAACGTTCCAGTAATTCCGCTTCATCCACGATCCTGCGGTCACCTTCGCCGCGAGCCAGGTCTACCCGCACCTTGGGGGACACCAGCTGGAAGGTGTCCCGGTCCCCAGATGGTACGATGAACGGCTCCAAGTCTGCGTCTTCGCTGCCTCAGGTGACAGAGTGGCCGATCAAGTATATCGGCGTCTACCCTGGTTCTAGCTCGTAGCATCGTAAAAAGGACACAGAAAGCCCTCATGAGTTGTTTCACCCGATCGAACTGCCCTCGCAGTTCGGGAAGCGTCGGGGGCCTTTGAGCCTTGTATTGCGGGAACCGAATATGGCGAAACGTGGGCGCAGGTGTGTCAAAACAGATCGTAACGTGGGTGGGTTGCCACTCGTTGAGTGCCCGAATTAAGACGCTGGCGAATCCATAAACGCCGGTTACATCTTCCCCGGTGCTCGACACCGTCAGGTTTCGGGAAGCACTGATGGCGCGAAACGATCGGTGAACCATCGCGTGCCCGTCCAACAACAGCAGCAACGGCGAACTGCGCCCGGCAGTCCCGAATGAAATCGGCATCGACATTTGACTTGCACTCGCCATCTTCGGTCCCTCTGGCAGATTGTCCCTAAACGCCCAACCAATTCCGTGGTAGGTCTTGTTCATCCGCATTATACATCAGCCGTAATGCGCGCCCGGAGTCCTGTCCGCCGTGGCCATGAAAGCCGCCGTGATATAATGGCCCGGCTATCCCACTGACCAACCTATATCGTTGTACAGGCATGCCGATTTACGAATACAATTGCGATTCTTGCGGCTTGCGCCAATCCAGATTGGTGTACAGCTGGTCCGCTGCAGATGCGCTGGCGTGTAGACAATGCGGAGGAAACGGATTGACCAGGCTGGTTTCCGGTTTTTCTTTTCATCGTTCGTGGGGGGAAAGTCTGAACTGGGTGCCAGATAATGCGATCGCCGACCTTGATAACAACCAAGCCGTCAGCATCGACTCCCATCTTGGACGCATGGACGAAGCCATGGGCGGCCGGGTCACCCCTGATTTCCACGAACATCGGCACGAGATCAACAACCCGGACGGTTGATTAATCATGCCCATTTACGAATACCGTTGCCAAATCTGCCATGAACTGTCCACCTTTTTCGTCCGCTCCGTGGGCGCTGCGCTGGAACCAATTTGCAGCAGTTGCGGCAGCGCCGAAATGCAACGCAGAATGTCGGCATTCGCCATGGGTAAAACCACTTCCGGCGTCCACGCTTCCACTCCGACCTCTGGCAATAGTCGGGAATACTACAGCGACCCGCGCAATATCGGCCGACACGTCGAAGACACTTTCACCCGCCACGGCGTTGAAATGCCGGCCACCGTTCGGGAATCCATCGACGCTGCCCGCGGCGGCGAAGTCCCCAAAGGAATGCAATCGTGACCACCAACCCCGACAACAACCCCTCCAATCTCCTGCCGGCACTGGTAGGCTGCCTCGAGGCCCTGCTCGCTTCCGAAACGTTGCCCGAAGGATTGATTGCCGGTGAAATCGGTTGGCTGGACAGCGGCCTCGCTTCCGCCCGCCCCGAGTCCATACAAGTAGGGCGTCCCGAAAATCGTTCCAATGCGATAACCCTTATCAACACCGCCCGCAACATCCTCAGCATATTGGAGGCTACTGGCGCCGTTGAGATAGATTCCGCGCTGCAACTCCACAGAGCTCTGGATGATGCCAACCAACGCGCTGGGAGGACGTTGCGGAGAGAACAGGCTGATCGCATTCGTGGGTTGTACGTCATCATCGACCCCGAAGTAACCGGAGGCCGCGAACCGATAGAAGTTGCGAAGGCTGCGATCAATGGTGGCGCCCGTATGCTCCAGCTCCGGGACAAATTGCGCGACAAGGGTGAACAGATGCCATTGGCTATCGCCCTCCGGGACCTTTGCGCCGCCAACCAAGCCCTGTTGATTATTAACGATCACGCCGATATATCGGCGGCCCTCGGCCCGGAACACGTGGGTTTGCATGTGGGCCAAACCGACTTGGCCGTAGCCGACGCGAGAAAGATACTGGCGCCAGGCCAGTTACTGGGACGCTCAAATCGGGATATCGACCTCATCATTGAGTCCCAGGAAATGGGCGCCGACCACGTGGCGTTCGGCTCGATGTACAACACGACCACCAAACCGATGATCCGCGACCCGCAGGGTCCAGAAAGGCTCAAACAGGCCCGCGCCGTGGCCCAGGTGCCCTTGGTCGCCATCGGCGGCATCACGGTCGATAACGTGGCTCCGGTTGTGGAGGCAGGCGCCGATGCCATTTGCGTCACCGCCGCAGTGGGAAGCGCCCCCGATCCCGAAGCCGCCGCTGCCGGGTTGACCGAAGCCATCCGCGCCGCCGGCGGACGAGTGTAGAGTCAGGCGATGCCGACACCACACGGGGAACACCTGGCTAACCTGTCTGCCAGGGCGATCGAAGAATTGGGCCAACGGCATCGGGCGCGCGAACAGGCGCTGGTAATATCCCGCCAGGTAATCCGGAACTCTGCTAACGCCATTCGCGCCGTTCATCGTTACGATTTCGAAGAGGCGGAACGCCTGATCGCCGAGGCATCTGACAGGCTGGGCGAAACGCTGGAAATCAAGATCAACAATCCCGAGATTTACTACGCCGGTTTTCTCTCCGACGCCAGGAAGGAATTTACCGAAGCTAACATAACGTTGGCGGCAATTTCCGAAAAAACATTGCCCGATTGGGAATCGCTTGATGTGGACCCACCCGCTTACCTGAACGGAATGGCCGAGGTGATCGGCGAGCTTCGTCGGTACATCCTGGATGCACTGCGACGGGACGACACTTCCCGTTGTGAAGAACTCATGGAGTTGATGGATGAGATCTACGGGATATTGGTTACCGTGGACTTCCCGGAGGCCGTAACCGGCGGATTACGCCGCAGCACCGATGCCATGCGCGGTGTTTTGGAACGCACCAGGGGCGATTTGACCATTTCTTTGCAACAACGACGTCTGGAACGCCGCCTCGCCGATTCGTCTCCCTGACGCTGCGAATCGACCTTGCCGAATACTTCGACGGATACTTCGCCCTGTTCACACGTCCCGGATTCATCAGCGCCCGGCTGCGCAATCTGGTCATCGCCTCGTGGCAGGTTGAGGCCACCGAACTGGAGCATTGCGTCCCCAGGGGATTGGAAGTTGACTGCTTCCATAACCAAACCTACATCAGCTTGGTTGGACTCTGGTTCGCAAATCCCCGCGTCTTCGGATTGCCCGTGCCAACAGCCGGGTACGTTCAGGTGAATTTTAGAATGTACGTCCGACAGGAGGTGTCCCGCGGGTGCAACCGGCCCGGTGTAATGTTCCTTCAACAAATGGTGGGCAGCCGCATAGCCGGCGAGTTCGCGAGGCGGTTGTATCGCGAACCCTGCACCGCGCTACCGATGGGCCGCAATTTCAGCGTCCCTTCCTCCTCACCTGGCCACCGAACGCGATATTCCTATAACTGGATGCGGGATGGCAGGGAGGAATCATTGTCCGCAGAGACCGATCAACCACCGCAAGTTTCAGCGGCAGGTTCACTGGAGGAATTCTTGACTGCCCGCCACTGGGGTTATCATGCTTTGCCTGGTGGCCGGGTCCGAAACTACCGTTTGACGCGCGATCCGTGGCAGATATCGACAGCCACGAGTTGGGCGATCACTTGCGATTATTCGTCCTTATTGAGCCCCTCCCTGGCGCAAGCGACAACGCAGGAACCGGCTTCCGTCCTGATGTCCCATGGATCCGCAGCCAAATTACATCTACCCCGTACGATACCATCGTGAATCTTATTGACAATCTGGGCTTCAAGTTGAGATTTGCCTCCGTCCGTTGGTAGAATACGGCCATCCGAAGCCGAGGCATTTACGCCAACGCTTACACCAGTTCCGGAGTTGCCACTTGGTTACACCACCTTCCCGAACTATGGTCAATCTTGCGTCCGACGAGTTGGACGCTATCGAAGAATGCTATCGCCGTGGCTGGACCGATGGATTGCCAGTAGTTCCACCGACAATAGATAAAGTACAGGCGATGCTGGATGCGGTCGGCCTGGCCCCCGATGACATCATCGGAGAAGTCCCAGTTCGTCGCCGCACCCTGACGGCGGATCAGGCGGCAGCCAACGCCGTTATGGCCGGGTGTTTGCCCTCTTACTTCCCCATCGTGTTGGCAGCCATGAGAGCTTTGTTCGAACACGATCCAAACTGCATCCACGAAGTATCCGCCGTGACAAACTCCACGGGCTTGCTCGTCATCGTAAACGGCCCCATCCGCCAGGAGATCGACCTGAATTGCACCGACAACCTGTTCAGTCCGGGGCGACGGGCTAATTCCACAATCGGAAGAGCTCTGCGGCTGATTTTCATCAACGTATTCGAGCAAAGGCCTGGGCTCCTGGATCGCGGCTGCATGGGCAGCTTGACCAAATTTGGCGTGGTGATCGGCGAGGACGAAGAGAACAGCCCATGGGAACCATTCCACGTCAGCGCCGGTTTTGCGCCAGGCCAGTCAACCGTAACCGTTGCCACCATTCAGGACCCGTCAATGCACGGTAACCGCTATGGCACCACCAGCGAAAGCCTGCTGGATTCTATCGCCGATGGCATGGCCTCCCACGGATTGGGCATATATTTTGGCCGCGGCATCAAATGGGTCTGGGTAGTAGGCCATTGGCACTCAGAGTTGTTGGGACGCCAGGGCTGGGAGCGGCGGGCCATGCAGGAATATTTGTACGAGCGTTCCTGGCGTTCGGTGGCTCAGTTGAAACGGCTGGGGATGGTGAATGGCCCGTTGGAAACCGAAGATGACGACCGACGATTGTTGACGGTTGAGAGTCCTGATGACATCCTTATCGTAAAAGCCGGTGGCGACAGCGGCATCTATAGTGAACTAATCATGAATTACTTCGGGGTTCCCGCAGTCACTACAGCATTGTAGGCTGGCCCGTTGTTCCACACCCAAGGAGTTTGATTATGACCATATCGCACTCTCCCAGCATCCAGGTAATCGACCCAACCGGGTACGACCCGGGTGAAACGCCGTTGATCATGGCCGCTCGACCCATCGACCTGCGTGGCGCCCGATTAGGACTGCTGGACAATTCCAAAGCCAACTCCGATGCCATTCTGTGGCAAATCGCGCGAATTTTGGACGAAGAGTTTGAGTTCTCCAACATCTATCATGCCCGCAAGCACAGCGCATCGCTGCCTCCGCATCCGGAGGTGCTGGCCGACCTGCACCATAATGCAGATTTCGTAATCGCCGGCATAGGGGATTGAGGAGGCTGCTCGTCGGGCAGTTTGCACGACGGAATTACTCTTGAGCGCCAGGGAATCCCGGCAGCGACCATCATCACCACGGTGTTCGCCAACACCGCCCGCGCCTACACGAGGCTGATGGGAGTCCCCGGTTTTCCATACTTGATGTGCCCTCATCCCATCACCAACGTCGGACCCGATGCCCTCCGCGAGAGGGCGAACAACCTGGTCCCAGACGTGCGCAATTTGCTTATCAACGGCGAGCTGCTCGGCAACTGAACTCAGCAAAGGTAACCTGTTTCCATGGCGGTTTTTGATAATTTGTTGCGGCGTTTTCGACGTCGCCCGGAAAGGGGACCCGGAACCTGGCGCAACCGGCTCACGGGGCCCCGAGCCGTATCACGGTTACACCATGGAAACTCCACTCCAACCGGGCCCGCCAACGAACGATGCTGACACCAGCCGGTTAGTTGCCGACGTCCCACCATCACCTCTATCCGACACTCGTGGGCCCGGCCGGGGATTCACCGAGGCCCGTTTAGAACACGATACGCCGCTTCGCGGAGAGCCGACTCCTGCATTCGCATCGGTTGGTTCAGGATCACCATCATCGGTGGCGGAACCATCCGGCGCCTATGCCCCTACCGCAACCATGTCTCCCAGCCACATGATGGACGATGACGTACTGCACGACGACCATTTACTGTTGTCGTGCCCGTACTGCGGTTTGGAACAACAGCGGATTGGGGCCAGATGCTCGCATTGCAACCTGGTGATCGTTCGACTGCCCAGATGGGCTCAGCGCCGACGCCGGGGATGGATCACCCGCCGGTTGTCGTGGCGCCGCTTGTTCACCGCCTGCGCCGTTGTACTGATTATCTTATTTGTCGTTTGGGTCAACTACCCCTTCGCCCCCGACCCGGTGGTCTTATTCAAGAAGATACATTCCACCATGACCATCGACATGGGCGCCGGTAGCTGGGCTGCGGCCGGGCGAGACCTCCGCCACAGCCGTTTCGTGGAGTTGGGGCCACCACCTCCAGTCGGCGATATTATCTGGAGATCTTTCGTGCCCAACCCGCTGTCGGCCGAACCCATTGTTCAATCGCCCAACATTTACGTCGCCACCGCCAACGGCATCTATCCACTGGCGCAAGAAACCGGCGAACTTCGGGAGGGTTGGGAAGGTGATACCCTCGGGCGCATTACCAGCGCCCCGGCCGTGATCGACTCATACCTGTTTTTCGGTAGCACCGACCACACAGTCAACGCCTGGAACGCGGTCAACAGCGATCCCATCTGGAGCTTCCAAACCGAAGACACAGTCCAGGCGGCGCCAATTGTATCCAATGGCCTGGTTTACATCAGCTCGGGGAAAGGGGCGTTATACGCGCTCGACGCCGCAAACCAGGGCGCCCAAATCTGGCGCAAACAACTGGATAGCAACGCCAGCGCTGCCGTAGCGGTCCACGACGGCAAATTGTTCGTCGGCGATGACCAGGGCATTTTCTACATCCTGTCTGCCAGAACCGGCCAGGAACGATTCCGATACCGCACCCCCCGGGCGGTAACCGGTTCGCCAGTGATTGCGTTGGATGGTTCCCGCGCTTATTTCGCCTCTGGAGGCCAGCTATACGCGGTGAATGCAGAACTCAACGAAGTTCCCGGACAATATCAATTCAAACAAATCTGGGCTCAATTGTGGCTCTGGCAAGTGCCAGGGGTACCGCGCCCACCGGGCCAACAGGGCGGCTTATGGCGCTTCACACCCGAAAATCCTTTGCTGGGGGTCTCCAACAGTCCTGCTTTGGCCAACGACGATATTTATGCGGGAGCCCACGACCATAAACTTTACGCCCTCAATGCCCTCGACGGTAGTCTTACCTGGGAATTTGAGGCGGCAGACGCCATTTGGGGGTCGCCGCTGGTTGTCAAAGATCAAGTGATTTTTGGCGATGACTCCGGCACCGTGTACGGATTGAACCGAACTGACGGCACGGAAATCTGGTCGGTCTTACTAGATCCTGATCCGTTAGACGACGACCGCTACCGGATCAGGATTTCCCCTACGCTCAGCAACGGTTTGTTGGTGGTGCGCACAGATAACGGGCACGTCTTCGGCATTCGATAAGCCCTTCCAGCTGGGTTCCGTGCTGGCTGCATGTAAAAGTGGCTGGGCTCTCATTGAGCCCAGCCACTTTTTGCCTGATCAACTTTCAGGTTAGTAAAGGTGACAAGACACCCGGTGGCCCGGCACAACCTCTTTCTCCACCGGTACCACTTCGGAACACTGAGGCATCGCGAACGGACAACGCGGATGGAAGCGGCACCCTGAAGGCGGGTTGATTGGAGAGGGTACCTCGCCCTGCAGCACGATGTCCTCGCGAATCAGATCGGGGTGCGAAGGCAGTGCGGCCGAGAACAACGCTTTCGTGTAGGGATGGAGAGCGTTTTCGTACAACTCCTCGGTATCCGCATACTCTACGATCTGACCGAGATACATTACCGCGGTTTGGTGGGCCATGTACCGGACCGTCGCCAGGTTGTGCGCTATCAACAGATAGCTGACGTTGTATTGCTCTTGCAAGTCCTTCAGCAGGTTCATCACCTGCGCACGAATGGACACATCCAGCGCCGACACCGGCTCGTCCAGCACAATCAGCTTGGGGTACGACACCAGGGCCGAGGCCACCGCAATGCGTTGCCGCTGGCCTCCACTAAACTCATGGGGATAGTTATTGGCCTGCTGGGCGTGGAGCCCCACCTGCTGCAAAACTTCCGCGACTCGATCTTCCTTCTCTTGCGTCGTCACGCTGCGATTAACGATAAGCGGTTCTGCAACAATATCGCGGACCCGCATCCGTGGGCTCAGTGACGACCAGGGGTCCTGAAACACCGCTTGCACCGTGGTCCGGTACTCTTGCAACTGAGTTCCGCGGAATTCGTTGATGTCTTCCCCTTCAAGAAGAATCTCACCCTCGGTCGGGCGTTCCAGCCGCAGTAATAGCTTGCTGGTGGTGGTTTTGCCACAGCCAGATTCGCCAACCAGGCCCAATGTCTCGCCTTGCCTGATAGAGAAGGAAATACCGTCCACCGCCTGCACGTAGCCGATGGTCTTCATCATGATAAGACCTTTTGTAACGGGGAAATATTTCTTCAGGCCATTGACTTCTAGCAATGCATGATTGGTAGCAACTACCATTAGGAACCTTTCCTCCTCGGAATGGAATTCTTTTCTCAGGTACTGGATCCGGAAAGAGCTAACCGCTACTGCCGGTCGGCACGACGAATTCTTCAATCGGTTTACCTTGCCAGTCTGGACCGAGCGCCCAACAGTCGGCATGGTGCCTGGGATTCATCTGTACCGACTCCGGATATGCTTCCAGGCATTTGTCCTCGGCGTATAGACACCTTGGCGCAAATCGGCACCCTTCCGGCAAGTTTGAAAGCAATGGCGGCTGGCCGTCAATGGAGTAGAGCCGGCCTACGCGCTGTTCCAGTTTTGGAACCGAGTTGATCAATGCCTGGGTATACGGGTGGGTCGGGTTGTTGAAAATATCCCGCACGTCACCCTGTTCTATTATCCGCCCGGCGTACATCACGGCCACTCGGTCGCACATGCGGGCAACTACGCCAAAATCGTGGGTAATGAAAATGATGGCGAGTCCGGTCTCCGCCTGAATCTCTTTCAAAAGGCGCAGGTATTGCAACTGGATCGTAACGTCCAGCGCCGTGGTTGGTTCGTCCGCGATAATAACTCCTGGTTCGCAGGACATCGCGATAGCCCCTACCACGCGTTGCTTCATTCCACCCGACATTTGATGCGGATAGTCGTCCAGCCGTCGCTCAGGCGCCGCCACGTTAACGGAACGCAAAGCGGTTACCGCCCTGCCCAGCATTGACCGCTTGTTTTCCCGGTGCGCTATGCCTAATGCCTCGCGCAACTGGTTACCAATTGTAAACACCGGATTGAGCGAAGTCTGAGGGTCTTGCAAAATCATCGAGATTTGCCGACCTCGGATATCCCGCATTTCATCTTCGCTCTTCAGCAGGACATCCTCGCCATTAAGGATTACCTCACCACCCACTATCTTGCCAGCCGGGCGCGGAACCAACCGCAGCAACGACGCGCGGTCATTGTTTTTCCGCAGCCCGATTCGCCCACGATGCCCAGGGTTTCCCCTTTTCGCAGCGAGAACGAAATACCATCCACCGCTTTCACGGTAGCCGAGCGAGTGAAAATATAGGTGTATAGGTCTTTGACTTCCAGTATCGGTTCGGTGTCAGTTTGAATTGTAGTCATAATGCTAAACGTTCCTCAGCTTGGGGTCGAGACGGTCTCTCATCCAATTTCCAAACAGGTTCATCGACAATACGGTTAGTACGATGGCCAAACACGGGAAGAGGAATATCCACCAGGCGACGGTGATCAAATCTCTGCCATCTGCAACCATTACTCCCCACGCCGGCCGGGGTGCCTGAATACCAGCTCCCTGGAAGCTTAAGGTCGCTTCCAGGATGATAACATGCCCTACCTCTAGCGTCGCCAATACTACCACAGTGGAGCAACACTACTATCACAATGATGACGGTGGTAATCCCGGCTCCGATCGCAGCCACCAACACCAGCGCCAAGCAAAATCGACGGAAAAGCCAGCTTGATGTCCACGATACGCATGATTATCGCATCGGTTTTACCACCTCTTCGCAACTTCTAAACGTTTCTCAATCTCGGATCCAGTCGATCCCTCAGCCAATCTCCAAACAGGTTCATCGACAATACGGTCAGTACGATGGCCAAACACGGGAAAAGGAATATCCACCAGGCGACGGTGATCAATTCCCTCCCGTCAGCCGCCATCACTCCCCAAGCCGGCCTGGGCGCTTTGGATACCAGCTCCCAGGAAGCTCAAGGTCGCCTCCAGTATGATCACGTGCCCTACTTCCAACGTCGCCAGCACGATTACAGTATTGAACACGTTGGGGAAAATGTGCTTCATCATGATCCGCGTGTTTGACGCTCCCGCCACCCTCGCCCGATCCACGAAATCCCGCTGTTTGATCCCCAATGCTTCGCTGCGCACAACACGGGCATACCGCGCCCAGAGCAACAGCGCTATCACGATGATGACGGTGGTAATCCCGGCTCCGATTGCAGCCACCAACACGAGCGCCAGCAGAATCGACGGAAACGCCAGCTTGATGTCTACGATACGCATGATAATTGCATCTGTTTTACCACCTTTATAGCCAGCCAACATCCCCAGCGTCGTCCCCAAAAACCCTCCCAACAGTATCGCCAAACACGAAACCATCAGTGATACTCGCGCTCCGTGCAGCAACCGGCTCAACACATCACGACCCAACTTGTCCGTACCCAACGGAAATTCCCAACTCCCTCCAGGTATCTCCTGCACCAGCGCCTCTCCCAGTTCCGCCTCCCCGTTCCCATTCCGGTCTTCCAACGTCCCAGCTCCTGATGTCAGAAGGTACTTGACGTTTTGTATGCTCACCTCGGTCGCATCGTTCTGTACACGCTGCACTATCTCCTGCGTCAGTACCTGATCCCCCACCCACACCGGTGGCAATTTTTCGCTGTCCAAGTGATTTTCTATCGGGCCGTGCGGCGACAGCACGTTCGCGAACACCGCCGGTACAATCAGCAACAGCACCAGGATAATCAGCGGTATTACCGGAAATCGGCGAAATTCACTCCACGCACTCCTAGCTCCTGCCTTCACCGCCTCCGGCGCTCCTCCTGCTATCTCTCCTACCGGTCCCCCGGGAGCATTTGCCTGCACCGCCATTTCTTTTCTCCCCCTGATTCCTTACCGTAGATCCCGTACCGTAGATCCCGTACCCTAATCCCTGCCCGTCGAGCCTCACGCCCCTCGAGCCTCGGGTCTAGGAATACCTGATCCGCGGGTCTACATACGCGTACACGATGTCCGTCAATATGTTGATACCAATGTACAACAGTGCAAATAACATCACGATTGCCTGCACCGTGATGTGATCCTTCGTATTTATTGCCTGAATTACCAACTGTCCAATCCCCGGCCACGCAAATATTGTTTCTATCACCACCGACCCCGTTATCAGCACAGCCAGGATCAGGCTGAAGTAAGTCAACGGCACTATCAGCGCGTTCCGGAAACAGTGCTTCCACACTATCTTCCACTCCGGAATCCCCTTGATTCGCGCCAACTTCACGTACTCCGTGTCCAGCACATCCAGCATCGACGACCGCGTCAACCGCATTATCGCCGCCACGTTGTAGTACCCCAATGCGAACCCGGGCAGCAGCATGTGTTCGATCCCACCTTTCCCAGACGTCGGCAACCACCCGAACTGCACCGCGAAGATCCACATCAATATCAATCCCACCGCAAACGTCGGCGCCGACTGCCCCAGTATCGCGAACATCTTCGCTCCACTGTCAAACCACGTGTCCTTCTTTACCGCCGACAACACCCCAATCGGAAAGGCTATCACACCCGTAATTATCAACGCGAACCCTGACAATTGAATCGTTGCCGGCAACTTCTCCACAATCAAGTCCAGCACCGGACGATCCCACTTGAACGACGTCCCCAAATCTCCCGTCAGCAACCGACCCATATAGGTCAGATACTGGATGTGCAACGGCTGGTCCAGTCCCCACTCCATACGCACCCGATCCAACTGCTCTTTCGACGCTTCATCATCAAATATCGCCGCCAATGGATCCCCGGCTACCCGCGACAGCGCGAATACGATCAGGCTGATAACGAATACCGCCAGTAATCCCTGTAATATCCGCAATACAATAAAACGCTGCATGATGTTCAGTCCTGACCAATGTGTAGCGCTACCGGTAATCCCGTCACGCTCCCGGTTGTTTAATCGATGATTCTTCAGTCACGCTATCTCGTTTGACTTTTTCCAATGGATCAAATCCCTTCAATCCATATGACCCGCGTCGCCAGGTTGTTTAGCCTGTTTCCAGCGGCGCAGGTCATACATGGTTGGGGGTTGCCGGCTGACTACTCCCGCACACCCTTTACGTATTCGAGGTAGACATAATTGCCGTTGTTCGGACCCAGGAATATATACTCGGCCACCACGTTAGGATTCACCGTCGCGCTCACCGGCAGCGTCCAGCCTGGGATAGTGGTTAACTCGTAGAAAAGCTCGTCCGAGACTTTCTGCCAGTCGGCCGTGGAATCGGCTTCGTTCAACGCCCGCAGCGCCTTGTTCTTGTTTACCTGGATATCATCGCTGGTGTAGGCGCGGAAGAACCGTTCGGCGCTGAAGTAGAAGTGCACCCGAGTGTCGATCGGCGCCGCCGGTCCCCGGAACGGGTACACGCAGCAGTCCGTATCCAACCCCCGATAATTGTTGCGCCAGTTCGAAAACTCGATGGAATCGGTCTGCGGCTCCAGCCCGATGTCACGCCAATACCCCGACATCGCTTCCATCAGGTCCGGCAGCTCCGGCACTCCGCTCAACGGGAATACTGGTATCCGGAAACCGAACCCCTCCGGATACCCCGCTTGCGCCAGCAACTCGCTCGCCTTCTCCGGGTCGTAGCCATACAGCTCGTCCCACGAGTCTTCCCAATCCGGGTTGTAACCTGCCGGGAAGTCTGGAACCAGCGTGCCAATCCATTGCCGGCCGCCTCCGCCCTCAAATATCGCGCTGTTGATCTGGTCCCGGTCCAGCGCTTTGTTCATCGCCATGCGGACTAGTTTTCCCGTTTCCCCAGGCTCGTTCCACGGCATGTGTTCGTCCCGGTGAGGCACATTGTTGTAGCTCACCCGTAGGTCCGCCTGTGCCTCAGGAGTTAAATCGGTGGGAACGCCCTGCTCGCCGGTGGCGTAATACAAACCACCGAAAAGGGCGAACGCAGTATTGGCAGTAACCGAACTGTCGTAGATCGTCATGCCCCCGGCAATGGCCTCCCCAAGCAACGATCGGTTGATCGCGCCTATGTGCCCTTCACCCGCCAGCATGATCGCCAGTCGTGTCGCTGGCTCCCTCACGTTCTTCAGCTCAATCTCGGGGAAGTCGGGGTCCACCCGCCAGTGTTCATAGTCCACAACGTCCCAGCGCCACCCCACGCCTTCCTCGAAACCTACGAATTCGTAGGGTCCCGTCCGCGCCGATTTCTCGTAAACAAGGTCCCGGCTCTGGGCGCAGTACCCCAACTCTCCGTAATCAGCTTCCCCGTTGGGGCATGCCTGGTCCCACTGCGCTTTGCTGCTCATGGGAACGCCCCGATATCCGGATAACCAGTAGAGAAGGTCCACCGCCGGCCGCACTTGGGTATGCAGATTGACCTCGTAGTCATTGACGATTTCAACTTCGGTACCCGGATCGCTGCGGAAGTAGTCAGAATAGGACGCGCGGCATTGCGGATTGGTGTAATAGCCTATCGAGTGTTTAACGTCCTGAGCCGTGAATTCGCCCCAGTCATCGTGCCAGCGCACTCCCTGCCGAAGCTTGAAATTCCACACCCGTCCGTCAGGTGTGATGCTCCACTCGGTCGCCAGCATCGGCTCGTACGATCCGTCGATGCGGCTGGCATCAACCATGTACTCCATTGCCATCCGATAGTTGACCACTCCAGAACCGGTGACTTCGCAGTCCAGCGGCGACTCTAGCGAAGGCGGGTCCAACACCGCAATCAGCCGGTCCGTTACCACTGTCCCCTGCAGTGTTGATACATCCAGCGTGGGAAGCACCGTGGCCTGCAACACCGATACCCTCTGGGTGGGCGTCGGCAGCGCGCCTGCCGGAATCGGTGTATTGGTGGCTGACGGGTCCTGGGCGCCCGTTGACGCCTGGTCAGTCCCAGCGCCCGCGGCAGGAGTATCCTCTGCCCCTCCACATGCTACGACCACCAAAGTCATAACGATTATAAATAACAATGCCAAACTGGGAAATCTTAAAATCCGCCGGAATCCCATTAGTTCTCCCCCGGTTGTTGATTTCACCGAACAGCCGCCCGGGCGCAGCAATTAGCGCCCCGTTCGCCACTCGGTAGGCTGTGGCACTATATGAAACATCCATGTGGCAGTCAAATCGGCACGTGGCTGACGTTTGTTACGTTTTTCGCAAAATGATGGCCTCATAGTTGTGGTCAGTTTGCATAACTCAACGATATATTATACATACCATGACTCAAACGACTGGATTTGTTCCGCACTTCTCAGGTGCTACCGATTACGCAATGTAATTACCCTTATTGTATGTCGAAATGCAATAAAGCGTAACGGAGCGAATCCAATAACAGAATTCAGCGGGTGATTACTTGCCAGCGGGTGATTACTTTATCCGCCATCGATTTCCTTAGTACTACAGTCGCAGATTTGACAGGCGGCGTTTGTAATGGCATTGGCGGGCTCTGGCTTGGTGGCGCCGTCTCCACCACGACCAGGACAGGATGAAATCAGGCAGTTGATTTTCCGTCCATACCAGTCGGGTGAGCAGCCGGCGCACCTCCGGGGCCGTTATGGGAATCAGCTCTTCATCGGGACCGTAGCAGCCCCCTTTTCTCCTGGTTCCATCGCTTGATGCTTGATTACCGACAGATACGCCTGCGCCAGCATCGCCAAGGTGATGTGCCGGTACCAGCCGTCCCACCTCCGCACCTCATACTGGTCCAGTCCCACCTGCCCCTTGGCCTCCTCGAAACACTCCTCGATGGCCCACCGGGTCCCAGCCACCCTCACCAGTTCCTCCAAGGCCGTTCCCGCCGGGCCGAAGCATACGAAGTAAGCCAACTCCCCGGGCTTGGCAATGCTGCGCCGGGCCAGCAGCCAGTAGCCCTTGCCCGGCTCCCCAAGAGGCCGTATTTCCACGACGGCCCAATCGTAGACCCGTGGCCCCTTGGCCCCATCGCCCCGCACTGCATCTGGTCCAACCCACTCGTCAACCTGCGACGTCAGCCGTTCAGCCCGCACCTGACACAGGCCCTGGTCCGTCCAGACCCACAGCTTCTCGTTGCTCCTGACGGCCAGCACGTGGGGAATTCCCTCTCGCTCCAGCCACCGCCGCAGCTTGCGGTCGTTGCCATAGACCTCATCTCCAGCAACCCAGCCGAAGGGGACTCCTGATTCCACGCGCCCGCTTCAGCATTAGCTGGGCCAGTTGCGGCTTGGTCCGAAAGCCGACACTCTCCGGCACCCCAGCCTCCCCCGCCGCTCCCAGTCTTCCGCCCACACCTGGGGCAGGTACAATTCCCGGTCCAGCAGGTTCTGCCCCTGGCGCTGGCATAGGCCAGAAAAACGCCAATCTGACAGTTCTCGATCCGCCCCGCCGTCCCGCTGTACTGCCGCTGCACCCCAACCGACTTCTCCCCTTTCTTGAGGAATCCGGTCTCGTCCACCACCAGAACCGCGTCAGCGGCGGGACAGATGCTCCACCACGTAGGATTTCATGTCATCACGAACCAGGTCCGCATCCCACCGATATTGTACAGCAGCGCTGCACCCCCGTCGGG